CCTCTCACAAAGAAGCCAGATAATTAGTATCATGTTTATATACAATGATAATAACAATAACATCATGACGAGACAATATATCACGAATTCATTGCAAAAGACGCGACGAAAGGTTAAAAATAGAACTAGATGTAACCTTCAGACTCAGTGATGGGGATATTTCATTTGATTTCGAAAATGGGATTTTGTCTTTGTCATAAGACTGTTTACTGCTAGTGTGGTTAAATCCATTACCGGTGTTTATTAAGCAGGTGTGGACTATTGAAACATGGTCTATAAATTATTATTTTTTTAAAACTGTATTTTAGAAGCCGATACGCCCGGAACTCAGCCTCAGTAGGTTCCTGTTTCGGTACTCAAATTTAAGCAAAAATGGATATTCTCTTTGAAATACAATTATTTTTTAACATGTGGTGCAAGGAAAAATATTTGACTACAGGCTATTGATAAATGAAAAAGTGAGTTCGAATCTAGTTCGAACACCAAGCTCTAAATTCCTTTTCGACAAACAGTACAAACTAAAAGATCCCTTTGAAAATAGAAAAGTTTTGCCTTTATGTTATATATATATATATATATATATATATATATACATATATGTATATATATATACATATATGTATATATATACATATATGTATATATATATATACATATATGTATATATATATACATATATGTATATATATACATATATGTATATATATACATATATGTATATATATATACATATATATATTCAAATTTATATACATATACATATATATATATTTAAATATATATATATACATATATATATATATTTAGATATATATATACATATATACATATATATATATATATATATATATATATATATGTGTATATATATATATATATATACACACACAAACAAACAAACAAACAAAAAACATACACACTACTACTATATATATATATATATATATATATGTATGTATATATATATGTATATATATGTATATATATACACACAAACAAACAAACAAACAAAAAACATACACACTACTACTATATATATATATATATATATATATATATGTATGTATATATATATGTATATATATGTATATATATACACACACACACACAGACAAATACACACACACACACACACAGACAAATACACACACACACACACACAAATATACACACACACACACATATATATATGTGTGTGTGTATGTGTGTATATGTGTACACACACAAATATCTAATAATTATGATGATGATGATGATGATAATAATAATAATAATGATAATAATAATGATAATAATAATAATGATAATAATGATAATAGTGATGATAATAATAACAATTATTATTATCATCATTGTCATTATAATAATATAGTATAGACTCCCTTTTTCGTCATATGTTTATTTCATTATCTCATTCTCTTTTTACCTTATATTTTCTACTTTTCCGTTTTAGCCTTCTTCTTTTTCTGTTTAATTATTCTTACTCTTCTTCTCACTTATTCGTCTTCATTTTTTCTTCTTCTCCTCTCTCATTTCCTTCTTTTCCTTTCGTTTTATTAATCTTCTTCCCCATTTTGTTCTTCGCTTTTTCTTTTACTTCTTCTTGTCCCTCATCTACTCCTTTACTTTTTTTCTTGTTTTTATTCTTCCTACTCTTTTTTCATCCAGTTTTACACATAAGTGTTTTTCATTCTTCGTGTTCTGATTCTCTTCCTCTATTTCATCTTGTTTTCCTTCATCTCCATCTCCTCTTCTTCTACCCCCCTCCTCTTCCTTAATGTATCCTTTCCTTTCCCCTAATTCTTCTCTTCCTTCTATTTTTCCCTCTTCTTCTTCCATCCCTTTCTTCCTTCTTCTTTGCTCCTCAAAGGGAAACTAAAGAATAACAGTTAAAGGATGATAGGCCGCTTGGCTTACTGGGTTTCCCGAATGGAAGGGAAACCCTCTCCTTTTTCTCCGTTTTTCTTCATCTCTCTAAATCCTATTTTTGATTCTTAGAAATGATTAGATTTTGATCTTCTTTATCATCACCTCCCCCGTCAAACAAAGAAAAAAATGAAAATAAAAAGAAAGGTATATGGAGGTATAAATATCTTTCACGTGGATTCTTTGTCAGTTGTCGGCTCCTGTTGGTTAGGGAAAGAGACAGCATGAAGTTCGTCCTCGTGTTTGTGAGTTCAGTGCATAAGTTCTGTATAGAGAGGGTATATGTAATACTGAACGCGTAAGTTTGGCATGTAAGGAATCATGAAGAGGAGAAGGTTATATAACGGGGAATTTGGGTCTAATATCACGTTGCAATTCTGAGAACGAAGCAGTTTTACACCTGCTTTTGTCTTCTTTAAGTGTAGCTTGTATCATAATGGAGTGGAGAAAAAAGGCGCCATTATGATCATTGCCTTGTTGAAAGTTACATGTAGCTTTTCGCGAGGCAGACTATACAAATTCCCTGAGTTATTCAGCTGTTGCAGAGAGTGATTATAAGCCAATAGGCCTTGAAACCTTAGGGACTCAGCGCCTGGCACTGACGCTCGTCGAGTCCTGAGAGTCTGACACAAAGGCCTTGGTTCCCACAGGTGGCGGTGGCGGCGGCGGCGTGCCTGGCGACGGCCGCTCCTGGCGGAGGCTACGGGGGAGGAGTGTGCTGCGGAGGCGCTGGAGGCGGCGGCGGCGGCGGAGGGCGTGGAGGCGGGAGAGGAAGAGGGCGCGGGCGGGGGAGGGGCGTGGGAGGGGGAAGGTTCTCCGTCGGTCTGGCAGGAGGACTTTCCATTAAGGGAGGCGGAGGGGGAGGCCTCGGAGGGGGAAGTGGAGGCTTTGGGGGAGGAAGTGGAGGTTTCGGAGGAGGAAGTGGAGGCGGAGGCAGCGGAGGCTTTGGAGGAAGTGGAGGCTTGGGCGGTGGAGGCCTAGGAGGTGGTGGAGGTTTCGGTGGAGGAAGCGGAGGCCACGGAGGAGGTGGAGCAGGTGGAGGAGGCGGAGGCTTCGGATCGAGCTTCAGCAGCAGCAGCAGCGGCTTCACCGGCTCCGGCTCCGGCTTCAGCAGCAGTAACAGCGGAGCTCAAGGAAGCGGCGGCTCAGGCTTCAGCAGCGGCAACAGTGGCTTCACCAGCGGAGGATCTGTAGCGTAAGTCTAACAACACGCGTCATACATCCTGCTTAAATGAAACATGCAATAAATCAATATATAACCGACACCTTTCCCACGTTGCATACAAACACTTTTCCACATAACTGAAAATACTAAACACATACATCCGGATACATCCAAAGAAATGAAAAACAAACAAACAAACAAGAAAATGAAACACTAATAACACAAATGTTCTTCCTGTCAACAGCCATCCCATCCCGGCCAGCAGCGTGAGAAAATGGTAA